TTAATGATCCGAACAGGTCATTATTATTGGGATGCTGTGGTTAACCTATCTACTAATTGATTGATTGATTGATTGATTGATTGATTGATCGATTGATCAGTCAGTCATTTGATTTTTTCCTTCTGTCACCGATACCCAGAGCAGTTCGAAAACTACCAATATACAATTACAAATGTTAAGTAAGAACATGGTTAATATACATGTATTTTATGACCTTTACTTTTTAACGTCTGCTCCCAGTTGACATCCTTTAAATATTACATACTTATTTCTTCTGTTTAAGTTTCTTATTCGCGTTTTACTTTAGCAGATGTAAATGGTGACATCACCTTAATCCATGCGTAACGGATGTGCAGATTGAACAGAACAGAACATTTCAGAACAGAACAGATCAGAACAGAACAGATCAGATCAGAATAAATATCCATTAACAGAATAAATATCCATTATTTTAATAAATTTTATTGACAAAAAAACAAAAACCACCAGGAAATCAGTAGACCTTTACTATGTTTGCAGAAAATTTCTATGCGAGTTCTAACCGACATAGATTATGACAACGAAAAGGTCACGAAAAATGGAAACTTAAAGGCACATCATGACCCGAAAACGAATATATATGTTTTACATCTTTTGAAAGAGCAAACATGAGTTTCAAAATGATAAAACAATTATTTTACAGCATGTTAGTAGCACTGAATATAAAATCATTTGACATTATTGTATGAAAGTCAAAATGCTACCTAGTTTACAATTTGTTATACTTTGTCATTACCCAGTAGGTTTTTAGTGTTTGTTGTTGTTGTTGTTGTTGTAGAAAAGGCCGTGGGTACGTACATTTTCTTCCCCAGGTTGACAGAAACAAGCCGACGTTCTTTTTACAAATGTGTCTTCTGCTATGGAAAAATTGTATTACCAAAAAAAAGACATCCGATAAGTGGAGCTTAACTTATATCACTATTCTTATAAACAATAAATTATTATAAACAATAAAAACTATTATATAATTTCTAAAACTACAAGGCAATGCAAGTCTGATTTGTTTAGAAAAAAGACCCGCGTGTTAGTGGATTATGAACTACTATATACCTTCCGCAGGTGTTGTCACGGTTTGTAAATCACAGGTAAGGTAGGTAATTGCCTGCAGAACATGTATCTTAGTATGTGATTAATTGCCCTGCTTCTAATTAACAACCTAAGTTGATGTTAGTTTTAATGTTAAACATGTGCAGTGGGCGTTGACTTTTTCAATGAATACAGATACGCTTCAAATACCCCATATAAGGCTAGTTAGATATATTCAGCTTCAAAATAAAACCGCCTTGTTAACCCGGAAGTGCGGAGACAGGTGGAATGAAAATACTAAGCTAGTTTCCCCGCTGTTACCGACATCCCTGGCCCCTGTGGAATGGAACCAATGTTGCATTTGGCTGGTACATATTAACGAGAATACCTTGGAATTCTTATAAGACTAACATAAAGCTCATTTCCCTGAGCGATTCTGTTTAAATATTTTTTAAAATAATGATGACCATCACTTTTCACAGTATATAAACAAGCCTACTTCATGTTATCGCAAGTCTTCTCACTTCCCTCGGAGCGTGCACGTGGCTGAGAAGGCACAGGGCATCGGCAGATGATTGAAGAATCGTGTTATAATCGTTTAAGGCGGCAGATTCGCATGTTATCTTCTACTCGGGGTAACGTTTAAGGCGGCACGAACTAGACAAACTACATGAAGTTAGCTGCCGGTGTCCTGACTAATGCCGAGGGGGTGGCCCTACAAAGTAAGCTGAGACGACGAGGATGGTGTACTAGGGTGCGTGAGCCCCTAGTACAGATAGACGGCTTGTAAGGCAGGCCTATAGCTGGCACCAACAGCCCTTTTCAGGGCTAAACACCTTTCCTATTGTCACAGGTTACTGTACATTTAGGTTCTCATTGACTGCCGTACAGTGACCTACTTTTGGCTCAAAATTTATATCTTTGGCTAATACTCCGTGGAAATTGCATGGAGGTAAATTATCACCACTTTGTGCTTCAAAATTAACTCTTTAAGGGCATGACTGGTGACATGTCCGGGGTCCGTACTCGACAGCACAAGCTGCATTTTGTGCCCTCGCGGGCGGATGGACCCTCATTAAGCTTAAACTACTGACTGACTGACTGTTATCGCAAGTAAGATGCAAGTTAAAATATATCAGGTTAATATACGTACCTGAATATATCTAGACTCCCAAGTAAGATACAGTGATCGGAAGTAACATGCTTTTACTCGCAAGACATGGTTATATATTGAATTACATATAGGCTCACAAGACAGGGTAAAGTGATTTTGTTTATATACTGTGTTTTAGATCATATATATTAAGGCCCAACGAACTGACTTAAAACATCATGTACATCATGTATATAATCGCTGTGTCTCACCTGTATACTCATTGTCGCGCTGATATCCTAAATGGACTTGTCAATATTTCAATCCGTCATTTTTATGGAAATTTCCAAAAACACGTAGTGACTGGAACAATGTAGACCATGACAGAACTTCGTACAAAACAGACTGACAAGGAACTGCAACTATGTATTGCAAATCGATTACTTTTGATTGATAAGATCTTCATGCAATACAAACCTGTATCTCTTAAGTAGTTAAGTTTAATATATGTTTAAGATATTTCAATTGTACCTTTTCAAGTATACTGTTATGACCATATCCCCATATTCCGGATCGCCAAGTTTACTCAAAACTACTGGTCAGCTTTTAAGCAAAAGGCGATGTAAAATGGACTATGAATTAGTTTTTGACACGTAATACATGATGTAAGGCAAGCTTAATTATTTAAGTTTACTTTAGCACCTAAAACTCACTTTTTTAAGAATGAAAATTATCATTTTTGACATGTGTTCATGAATTTAAGTATATAATGATATGAATAATTAAACTTGTATAAAATTGCCTCTCTATTGTACAAAAAAATAATTTGAAACACTTATATTCAATAAGAACTTTTTTCATCAATGAATCCAGAGGTCAGAACAATTTAAATTTTATTTTGAAAATATAACTGTCGTAAAAAGTTATACCAATCATTTCATCTTGATAAAAATCTTAGTAAAACTAGTTATTAAAATGCAATTCCTTTAATATTATCTTCATAAAACTCGCCATTTTTTTAATTTTCAAATAATAATTTTCAATTTCTTAATTATAGCTAGGGCTTTCGCAAAGAAAATGGAAAAACTAAGATAGTAAAGTATAGTGTACAATGTAACACATCTATTTGCCACTATCTGTGATGTTAATTTCATTAGACCTTTGGAAAGTAATAAACCAATCAATTATGCAGTTGAAACATTGAAGTCATTCAAGCATGTTGATAGATAAAGATCTGCCAAGCCCCCAGACATTAGATTAACAACTGGATGACAGATCAAAGTTTGAAACTGACCAAAATATATTCCAGCCCAGCTGGTAAACGTATCTTTTGGCCGAGGGGGGGGGGGGGGGGCTGCAGCCCTGAAGCCCGGGCCTGAATCCGCCACTGCGGATAAATTTTTTGTTCTGTTCTGTTCATAACACAAATATGGAAATAAAACGTGTTAACACTCTAGACTAAGAGGCTACAGTTTTGATCCAAATATGCTTGAAATTGGTCAGAAAGCTTGTTTTGATAATTTCTATATTAAATTTGAATATGCTGGTCTTCTGTGGTCAAAAACTCGGTCACGCAGACGAAATAAATGATATTGAGTCTGCATAATCAGGTGAGATATATAAAGGCCATCTTGGCCCTCTTTACCTAGTTTTTGCAGATTAGGTACGAAAATATGTAGTACGAATTCATGTACGTTACTTCCCTTTAATATGTAAACCATTTGCAACTCCACACGATTCAAAACTTTGCGTGAAAATCATTCGAATGAAGGACCAGACAGGTATTTTCAAACAGTAAAAATGTTAATATCATTTAGGTTTCTTTGAATATCTGTTTAATGTAGCGAGTTGATTATTTTATAGGCTTAACTGACAGATTAAGTGTCAATAGTTTCAGTGTCATGTATTTTCGCGATTTTATAGATTTATCATTATTCACTTTCAATTCTATTAATTTGTAAAACTTGTCCAAATTATTGTATATTTAACATCTGACTTAGAACTTAATGTTAATTCACTGTTGTATTTTCGGGCTTAGGAAACATCGGTACGTTACGATACCGAAATCAACTTGATTTCGGTAAAGTTACCGAAATCAACTTTTCATTACCGAAATCAACTTATAGAATCATAATTAAGCGTTTTATTATATTTTTTTCATTATTATATATTACAATAGGTTAAGTTTGACTTTCATGCAAAAAATCAGCTCGAAATAATCATTAATAATGATATTAGAAACAAATAACTAAATATCAAGATTATTCCCTGATTTGTCACGAACCGAAATATATGTTACAATACCGAAATCGACTTGTAAAATCACAATTAAGCTTCTATTATATTTTTTTTCATTATAATCTATTACAATAGGTTTAGTTTAGCTCTCTGCTTTTTTTGATGATATATTTGACAATTATTTATGTGCTTTTAGGAAAGGCCATGGGTGTCAAACTACTCTGTTAAGACTACTTGAGGACTGGAGACAGGCCCTGGATAACAATGAATATGTGGCAGCAATTTTGATGGACAAGGCATTTGATTGTCTGCCACATGACATTCTTTTAGATAAGCTAAAAGCATATGGCTTATCAGGCCCTGCCACCAACCTCATGCAATCTTATCTGTCAAACAGGAAACAGCAAATAAAATAGGCAATATTGTAAGTTCATGGGCTAATATATCCAAAGGTGTCCCTCAAGGATCAATCCTGGGCCCTCTACTGTTCAATATTTTCATAAATGACATATTTTTCTTTATAAAAAAATGTACTTTATATAACTATGCAGATGACAATACCCTTTCTTTTCGGACTAAATATTTTGATGAACTAATTGTGAGGAATATCTAATTTAGGTGTCTATGACCGTTCAGTTTTGGTGGTGTGTTACCGGTTATCCGTCCGGTACGCTGTGTCTATTCGTTAGAGTTTTATACGCTACAACGTGTTCTTAACTTTCATGTGTTTTCAGTCTTTTCAGGCTGGGTTTTTTGTCATTTGTGCAAGTTGTACACCACAACAGTGTATGTATTTATTCCCCACACTTCTCGCCTTTTATTCTCTGTTAACATTTATTGTAAATTTGGAGTAGAAATCCTTGTCAAACATTTTATATGGTTTCGTACCCAAAAGATTCGTACTTAAGTTTTCGCACTTGTACTAGCTTGTACGATTAATAGCTCATATTAATAGCTCATAATAGCTGGTATTATATAGATATTTGGGTTTCATGTTATTTTAGAATAATGCTATACTGCAATACAATAGTCTTAATTGTTATAAAAACGTCATGTTTTAGTCATAATTTGATTATTATGTTATAAGATTATTTTTTACTGTATTTTCAGTATTAAACCGTACACACTTGGATCGTGTTGGTTTGCTTTCGCCACTTAGGGCAGAAAAGATTAATAACTGTTTTGTACACTACTGCTACAGTACTGTTGAGCGTTATTCACTAGTGTACTCCTACACCACTTCTGTAGATGTGTTTACATCACCCGTCATCATCGTGAATGACATCAACAAAGCCGGAACGCATCAAGAAATTAACATCTAAGGCAATGGAGGCCTATGCAGAGACTATTAAAAGGTATGAAGAAAAGATAAAAGAACACTGGGAAAATTTAGATAAATTCATCTCAGATAATGGAACCCTGACACAAGATGTGGACTCCTTACAATTGAAATCAGTCAAATCTAAAACTATTCAATATTATTCAGTGTTTGATAGCAAAGCAACAGAGTTCTTAAGATATCTGTCTCGAACCGGTACTGAAGACAGCCTTTCTAAGTACTCATTAGTGACAGCAGATATTGCAGACAAACGAAAGGCTGCAAATGCATTTATGGATTTTCTTAAAGGTTTAAAGTCTGATCTGTTCTCAAAATCTTCAAAAACAAGTAAATCTTCTCGTGCAAGATTAAACGCAGCTAAAGCAAAGGTAGCATATGCTGAAAAGGCAGCGGAATTGGAACTACAGCGTGTCGCTCTGGAAGAGAAGGAGAAAAAGGAAGCAGCTGAATCAACTAGGAGGAAACAAGAACTTGATATAGAAATGCAATTGTTGAAGGATAAAGAGGAGTTGGACTTGGCTATAGTTGAGCTAGAACAGTTATCAGATAGTGATGCAGATTTAGAATCCAAATTGAATGATATACCTATTGCAGACTCAAAGATTAGAACAGCAGAATTTATTTCAAAAGTAAAGCAAGAGAAGTCTTTGAATCCGGAAGCTGTAAGTTTCCAACCATCAAGTACTGGAAATGACTTTACCAAGTATTTATTGAAGAAAGATCTGTTAATCTCTAGAATGACTGTGTTTAACGAAAAACCAGAAACTTATCAGTCATGGAAACAAACTTTCAAGTCAGTGATGAAAGAAATAGATGCAAACCCAAGTGAGGAAACAGATTTGCTTATCAAATGGTTAGGGTCCAGTTCCAAGAGTCAAGCAACTTCTTTGAAGGCTGCCTTTATATATAATCCAACTGAAGGTCTGCGTAAAATTTGGGAAAGGCTAGATGAACGATTTGGAACTCCTGAGAATGTTTACCACGCCACTATGACAAAATTGTCATCATTCCCCAAAATATCTGCAAGAACGTCTTCACAGTTGTATGATCTTTCTGATATATTGTCTGAAATTGAAGGTCTTAAATGTGATCCTAAGTATTCGTCAATTCTATCATACTTTGATGCTGCTATAGGGGTAAATCTAATCGTGAACAAGCTTCCGCAGTTCTTGCAAGAGAAATGGACGACTACAGCGACAAGATATAAACAATCATTCAATGTAGCATTTCCTCCTTTTAGTGAATTTGCAAAGTTTGTCCGAGAGCAAAGTAGAATCAGAAATGACCCAAGTTTCAATTTTGATGCTCCTTTATCGGTTGCAACCGCCACTCCAAAACACACACGTAGTTCGTACGACAGACATGTTTCTGTTAGGAAAACCACAGTAATAGATGATAAATGTCCAATTCACAGAACTTCACATAAGTTGGAAAAGTGCCGAGTTTTCAAAGGAATGTCTCAAGATGAAAAGAAAAAGTTTCTCTTTGAGAAACATTTGTGTTTTAAGTGTTATTCTAGTCAACACAGGGCTAGTGAGTGTCACATGAATGAAAGTGCTCCTGCTCCAAGTTTTAATAATAAGCCCTATTCATATGCAGATGACCATAAGACAAAAGAAGCCCAAGATCCTCAAAGGAAAAACGTGACAGTGACAACTTCTTGTACTGAGATTTGTGATTCTAGTGAGGGAAAATCATGTTCAAAAATTGTACTTGTAAATGTGTTTTCACAAAACAATAATGAAAATGTTGTAAAATGTTACTGTATTGTAGATGAACAAAGTAATAGGTCATTGATAAAACCAGAGCTGTTCTCTATGTTAGGCATTTGTGGTCAAAATCATGAGTATTTACTAAAAAAATGTAATGGTTGTATGGTTGTCAGCGGCCGCAGGGCTAGCAACATAGTGGTTCAATCACTTGATGGTTCTTGCACTTATAATCTGCCTACTCTGATAGAGTGGTTCTCATATACCTAACGATAACAATGAAATTTGCACACCAGCTAATGCTAGACATCATGATCATTTGAAACACATTTCTGATCAAATACCAGAGTTTGATGCTCAGTCTGAAATTATGTTATTGTTAGGGCGAGATTGTTATTGAAGCGCATCATGTATTTGACCAGGTATTAGGCCCTCCAGGAACGCCCTTTGCTCAGCGATTAGGGGTCTGGGTTGGGTCGTTGTTGGGTGAGCTATGTCTTGGTCAAATCCATGCTCAGGATGTTGTGAATGTAAACAAAACGTATGTTACTTCGAGGATGGAGAGCATCTCTGTTTCAGCCTTGTTGTGATCACCCTTTGTCCGTGCATGATCCGTTGTTTGTTCAAACTCCTACTGACAATAAAGTCTCTCTCTCAGTCGATGATCGAGAATTCTTACGTATCATGGATGAGCAGGTCCATAAAAATCCAGATGGAGGCTGGATAGCCCCATTGCCTCTTCGCTCAGGTAGGCCCCGTTTACCCAACAATAAGAAACAGGTTGTTAAAAGGACCAACAATCTTCTCAAAGGTCTAGAGAAAGATCCTGTAAAGAAAGCTCACTTTTTTGAGTTCATGGATAAATTATTCAGCAATGGTCATGCTGAATTGGCCCCCAAGTTAGGTCCATATGACGAGTGCTGGTACTTACCTATATTTGGTGTTTACCACCCTAGGAAACCCAACCAAATCCGAGTTGTATTTGACTCATCAGCCAAGTTAGAGGGTGTCTCTCTAAATTCCGTCCTCCTTCAAGGTCCCGACCTTACTAATAGCTTGTTAGGTGTTTTGATAAGATTCAGAAAGGATCAGATTGCTGTGGTAGCAGACATAGAGCAGATGTTCTATTCCTTTAGGGTGCAGGAGAGCCATAGAAATTATCTCAGATTTTTTTGGTTTAAAGACAATGACCCCACTAACGTATTGGTAGAGTATCAAATGGCTAAGCATGTATTTGGCAACAGCCCTTCGCCAGCTATAGCCACCTATTGCCTTAGAAAATCTGTTGACAATTCTGATGAAGATATTAGAGTATTTGTAAATAGGGACTTCTATGTAGATGATGGGTTATCTTCGCAACCCTCTGTAGAAAAAGCTGTAGACTTGTTAAAAAGAACTCGGAGAGATTTGAGCGCTAGCAAGTTGCGCCTCCACAAGATTGTGTCTAATGAACCTGAAGTTTTGAAGCAATTTTCTGTTGATGACTTAGGCACGGGGGAGGAAGTGTTACACGAAGGATGGAGTTCTTATGATAACTTGTTTGGAGTTCTTATGATAACTGTCACGGAGTTCCTGGAAAACGTTACGGATTTCTGTGGAAAACTTTTCTATATACTTGGAGAACTCGCGTAAATAATGGTTATTTTTAACTTTAAATGGGGAGTTTGAGGTGCTAAATTAAACTTTGATAATTAAGCTTGCCCTTCATATTGAATTATGTTTCAGAAAAAATCTTTTAGTCCATATTTCGTCGCCGTTGAAAAAAAATCTGGTAGTTTTGAGAAAAATTTCCAAATTATTTGCTAATTCGTACATATTGACCTTGTCATTTGTGATCTTCTTCGTTGCTATACATAATCACCTAATTATAGTGGAGAGTTGCAAACATAAAGCCCGGGCTAATAAATGTATACCCGATTTTTCTAATGTTACGGAGTTCTTGTGATAACTCAAAATATGTCCTGGAGTTCTTATGATAACTTTTGTTACTGCCAGTGTGTTTCGTGTGCTTAATTACGGCACATTTAAACGTATTTTATTAGTCAATAAGTGTAAAATCATTATGAAGCATAGTACGCTTATCATTTGCACAAAAATTTGGTTATATAACGTTGGTTTTGATCGTGTTTTAGTTCCTAATTAAATTTTGTGCGAAATCATATTGACATAAAACCCAACGAATGCACTAAATGTTTCTGTGTATACTTTTTGTCAACAAAAGTTTTATGTCATAAGTGTCCGTGTCCGCAAAATGCAACATTGAGGCCATGTGGCAAAACTAAAACACGATCATTCAATATATCTGGAGAAGACATGAAACTGCTTTGGTGTACAGTCTATATATAGGATAAACAGGTGCTAAGCTATCTTCAGGAACGACCGCCTCCGTGGTCGAGGGGTTTGAATCGATGACTTCTAATCCAGTTACCTCTCTGACGTGGGTTCGATCCCGGGAGATGCTTTGGTAGTTTAGCACGGAGGAAGGTAGTCTAGTACTGGTGTAACTCTCCAGGAACGATGGTTAGGAAACTACCCGCCCATATGACTGAAATACTGTTGGGAAAAGGCGTAAAATGAAACAAACAAACAAAAATCTTCAGGAAAACCTGAATCAGCGGTCACCTGTATTCAGCAGTAACATGGCTTAAACCGCCAAGGAAAAATTGTTTAAAACTTACCATTTTTCTCAGTTACATGTTTTAAGCAACCGCCTTTCTAAAGCAGACAATAAGTAGTTGGGCTCAAAAGCGGCTAAGTAAATTGTATCATAATATACCATGTATCGTATGTAACCGGGATACCCTTCACACCCATGCACCCGAAATGTATGATCTTTTTATGCATAAAAAATCAACCGATTACTACCGATCTTACACAGATTTGCACGTGCCCTACGGGTTCGAGCGAAAGAAGTTCGACAATATATTTTTGTAAATCAGTTACAGCAAAAGTTGTTGCAAAATTTCCACAACTAGGACTCCAACTTTGATAAGAAAAATGTATGCAGTAATTTTCCGAAATATGGAGATTGTTGTACGTCACGTGATGCTACATTGGATTTAATAGAGAAAGGAACAGGGTCGGTAAACGGCATGAACCTTACGGTGACTCACATATCTTATTGAAGACTTACTTTCTATCGTCATATCATTGTCATAGAACTTTATACGTTTCTATGACAAAAAACTGATACCTTTTAAACCGTAAACGTGCCGTGATTAAGCACAAAAACATACTGGCAGTAACAAAAGTTATCATAAGAACTCCAGGACATATTCTGAGTTATCGCAAGAACTCCGTAACATTTGAAAAATCGGGTATAAATTTATTAGCCTTGGCTTTATGTTTGCAACTCTCCATAATAATTAGGTGATTATGTATAGCAACGAAGAAGATCACAAATGAAAAGGTCAATATGTACGAATTAGCAAGTAATTTGGTAATTTTTCTCAAAACTACCAGATTTTTTTTAAAAAGGCGACGAAATATGGACTAAAATATTTTTTCTGAAACAAAATACAATATGTAGGGCAAGCTTAATTATCAAAGTTAAATTTAGCACCTCAAACTCCCCATTTAAAGTTAAAAATAACCATCATTTACGCGAGTTCTCCAGGTATATAGAAAAGTTTTCCACAGAAATCCGTAACGTTTTCCTGGAACTCCGTGACAGTTATCATAAGAACTCCAAACAAGTTATCATAAGAACTCCATCCTTCGTGTAACACTTCCTCCCCCGTGTTAGGGAAAGGTCTGAAGGATGTTGATCTTGATTATGGTGGTTTACCAAGTCAGCGCAGTTTAGGTATTGTTTGGAATATTGAGAATGATCAATTCATGTTTAAAGTGGACATGTCAGTTCAGCCTGTTACTAAGAGAGGTATTTTGTCGACAATTAATAGTCTTTTTGATCCGCTTGGATTTTTGGCCCCCGTAGTACTAGAAGGAAGGTTAATCCTTCGAGAGATAGTATCCACCAAGGTAGAATGGGATGATCCTATTCCTCTAGATATTGCTAAGAAATGGGAAAGTTGGAGATGTAGATTAGCAGATGTCGCATCTCTCGACATTCGTAGAAGTTATTTTGTCGGCTCACTTAGTCAAATGTCTAGACTTGAGTTGCATATTTTTGCAGATGCATCAGAAAGTGCTGTATCTGCTGTTGCATATGTTGTAGGATACTCATCCAATGGCCAGTGTCAGATAGGTTTTGTGTTAGGAAAGAGTAAGCTTGCCCCTGAAAAAGGTCACAGTATCCCAAGGTTAGAGTTGTGTGCTGCAGTGTTAGCTACTCAAATATATCAGTCTGTTAGTGAGCAATTGGACGTTGATTTAGGTAATGTTAAGTTTTACACAGACAGTAGAGTAGTTCTTGGTTACATCTGTAATATTCTATCAGTATGTTAGTAATCGTGTTCAGAAAATTCTTCATGTTAGCAATTCAAGACAGTGGAATTATGTTCCCTCTAAGTTAAACCCTGCAGATATAGGAAGCAGAGGTGCAAGCGTTGAGCAATTGAAGCAAAGTTCTTGGTTACAAGGCCCAAGCTTACCTTTACCAGGGCAGGTGTCCACACCTGAGTACTTTCCACTCCTTAGTCCCGAGCACGACAAGGAAATTCGCCCTGAAGTTTGCATTCTGTCAACCAAAGTTATTGTAGGGAAGTCACTTGCAAGCATTGTCGATAAGTTCTCATCTTTTGAGAGATTGGTCAGAGCTGTGTCAACTCTTAGGCATATTGTATTATCTTACCACAAAAGATTACCCTGTAAAGGATGGCATCTTTGTCCTGAAGCTAAGGATGTTAAGTTTAGGGATGAGGTCAAATTTTACCTGTTAAGTAAGGTCCAGCACGAAGTTTACAGTAAGGAGTTAAAGCTTCTTTCAGAAGGCAAGGCCCTAAATAGAGATAGTAGCATTTTGTCTCTAGATCCTAAGCTTGGTTCTGATGGTTTACTTCATGTTGGTGGTCGCCTCAATAGGAGTAAACTGCCTGAACTAGAGAAAAACCCTATAGTCTTACCTGGTAAGCACCACCTCTCTCGACTTTTGGTAGAACATTACCATAAGTTGATACATCACCAAGGTAGATCCTTTACCGAAGGCGCAGTTAGGTCAGCTGGCTTTTGGATAACTGGAGGGAAACGTTTAGTTTCTACTGTCATCCGTGACTGTGTATTGTGTAAGAGGTTAAGAGGTCGTTTTGAATGTCAGAAAATGTCTGAATTGCCTATTGAAAGAGTAGAACAGGCTCCGCCCTTTAGTTATGTTGGGGTTGATGTATTTGGTCCCTGGGAAGTCGTGGCTAGACGCACTAGGGGTGGACATGCAGCTTCCAAAAGATGGGCAGTGTTGTTCACATGTCTTACTATTCGTGCTGTTCATATAGAGGTTATCGCTGAAATGTCGTCATCTGCATTTATTAATGCCCTCCGTAGGTTTATCTCTTTGCGTGGTAAGGTCAAACAGTTCCGATCTGATCGTGGATCAAATTTTGTTGGTGCCACTAGTCTTCTCAATATTGAAGTTATAAATGTCGAAGATGAGAAAACTCAAGGCTTCCTTCAATCTCATGATTGTCAGTGGGTTTTCAATAGCCCCCATAGTTCACATATGGGAGGGGTCTGGGAGCGGATGATTGGTGTCTCCCGCCGCATCCTTGAGGCAATGTTACTTGAAGTTAAGAGTTTGACACATGATGTTTTAGTTACTCTAATGGCCGAAGTGTCTGCGATCATCAATTCTCGACCTATTGTCCCTGTATCTAATGATCCAGATATCCCTGAGGTGTTAAGCCCCTCCTCACTTCTCACTCAAAAGTTAGAGTGTGATCAAACCCCTCTAGGCAATGTAGACATTAAGGATCTGTACAAAAAAACAGTGGAAGCAAGTACAGCACCTTGCCTGTCAGTTCTGGGTCCGTTGGAGGAGAGAATACCTTCAAACTTTACAGGGTCGTAGAGTTTGGCATAAAGACCAGGATCCTCTCAAGGTGGGCGATATTGTACTTCTCAAAGATTCAGAAGTTGCACGTAATTTTTGGCCTTTAGCTAGGGTTACAAAAACCTTTCCAAGTCAGGATGGTCGTATTCGCAAGGTTGAGGTTTGTGTTATGAAAGACAGTAAGAGGACTTACTACACTAGACCAATAGTAGAATTAGTTCTACTTGTGAAGTGTTAAATGATTCAGATATATGGAACTGATGTATAACAAAGTGACAGTGTTCAGTTTCACAATAATCACAATTTAGGATTACATTGTTAATGCAGATCTTCTGATTATTTTATTTTTGGATAAATCTGGTGAAATATGTAATGTTTATTCATACTCTTGTTATATAAAGTTTCGTATTCAAATATTTAGATATTTTTGTTAAGTGTTATTTTGAGAAATAACAGGGGGGAGTGTGAGGAATATCTAATTTAGGTGTCTATGACCGTTCAGTTTTGGTGGTGTGTTACCGGTTATCCGTCCGGTACGCTGTGTCTATTCGTTAGAGTTTTATACGCTACAACGTGTTCTTAACGTTCATGTGTTTTCAGTCTTTTCAGGCTGGGTTTTTTGTCATTTGTGCAAGTTGTACACCACAACAGTGTATGTATTTATTCCCCACACTTCTCGCCTTTTATTCTCTGTTAACATTTATTGTAAATTTGGAGTAGAAATCCTTGTCAAACATTTTATATGTACCCAAAAAATTCGTACTTTAGTTTTCGCACTTGTAATAGCTTGTACGATTAATAGCTCATAATAGCTGGTATTATATAGATATTTGGGTTTCATGGTATTTTAGAATAATGCTATACTGCAATACTGTAGACTTAATTGTTCTTAAAACGTCATGTTTTAGTCATAATTTGACTATTATATTATAAGATTATTTTTTACTGTATTTTCAGTATTAAACCGTACACACTTGGATCGTGTTGGTTTGCTTTCGCCACTTAGGGCAGAAAAGTGAATGATTAAAGAAAAACACTGAAGATCATTTATGATGGAAGGTTGATACAGCGTGTATACTTATTTGCTTCAGCAGACTTTTGTATCCAATTGCAAGTAAAGAATTAGCGTTAAGCATCATCCAATCTTTTCAAAAATAATACAAATCTGACACTCCACACAAACAGTTGTATCCTAGTATTGCGATAGTTTTTTCTCGAGTTGTTAGAATAGGGTTTTAAGCATAAATAATCCATTGAAAGCCGTACATTCGGAATAGCTCCAGCAAGTTAACACTCAAGGTCTTTTGAAAAATGTATTACTTCAGTTAATAACTTCCGCTTTGGAAAATTTCAGGATTCTTTTTCAACCTGAGTGATTTATAGATCTGGACAATTTACAATTTATTGTTTTTCTTAAAAGGAATCCATTGTATTAAATGTACATTAGACATAAATACTGAATCCGTGGACAATATTTGACGAACATCACGGTTAGAAATTACGATCTTTTCATTTCTGATACGGCTCCGAGATGGGGTATATCAAAGCTTTGTATCAAATAGGCCTGTCTCCCGTATCAGTCGGCGTCAATCAGTCTTACCACGTTGTATGATTAGAATACCCTACTTAATGAGCTGGTAAACAGTCTTAACTAGTAACGGATGAAATATGGCCGATATATGTCGATAACTGCGATTCTCTCGTTCCCTTATGTCTATCACGTAATGATTTCTCCATAATATGTCGTGATTTATGTCTTGGAAATGTCGATATTGTCATAATAATTCTAAGAAATTTATTGCAGCCATTTCCTCGCGGTTATTTGAGAAGTCTAAGAAAAGCTTTTTATTTCGTTATAACTCTAACGTTACGAGGGCGCATTTTCGGATTAATATGCATTTTACCCATGTACTGCTAGTTTTTCGAAATATATGATTCAAGAAACAAGGTTTTTAACATACAAGTTATCTCAGGCGATCATTAAATTAAACTGAACACATACTTTCTCACAGAAAAAAAAAAACCGCAGAAACCACAGTTTGCACTTT